AGAATTTCAGGTTACTCATTTTTATCATACTTTTCACTCACGCAAACCGCCGGGTGGTGCCCGGGCTGTGACCTGTGACCTTTAAGTGTTACCCAGACTCACCATCAGGTCTCCTGCCAGTGCGGAGGAATGTTCTAGTGGCGCCCACATGTCCACAGTTGTAGTACAGTGCACGTGTGGCCATCAGCAGAGAAATGTCAAACTCGATCATCAACTCCTGCACACAAACAAAAACGTGCTGGACACTCCAGAATCAAAATTATCATTCAAACCAAAAAATTAAAATGCACCATTGGCTTTTTGACAAAATATTTATACTAAACACACAACGAAAGTTCAGCTATGCTGGGGAGCTTTCGAGACGTACTCTGTCTCTTCATCAACCCGATTAAGATCTCGTCTTGGAGTTCTCTTGTCACGTGACTTGATGAGATAATCACATGACAAGAGACAGTCATATACAGTTTTTGGGTTGTGCCCCTCGCCTTAAGGCCAAATCAATTTAATTTCATGGTTCAGCCAGTGTACAGAAAGTGTGAAATGGAGCGATATGGAACGAAATATGAAAAAAAAAAACAATGTATATCATCGACAGCAGAAAGTACACTGTACAAAGAAAGGGAAATGAGAAAAAACAGCCAGCTTATAGAATCATATTGTTTCTTGAGGTGATTGCTTGGGCAAGCTTGACTGTACGTATTCATTGATAAATGACAATGTACATGTATCTATGACTAGAAAACCTCCTCCAGACTTAACTACTCCTTTTAAGATTATAAATGTCTACATTCCAATACCTACCTTGATTTTCACACATCCTTCCAGGACAGTCAATAAGTGAGCTTCATCCTCCTCATCCCTCTTCTGCTTATTTTGCCTCGTTCCTGTTTGAAATAGTTATTTTGTTAACTTGAATTAGTTCAGTCTGTATAATTTTAAAGTTTGTTATGTAGAGTTGTGAGACAGAGTTGGTCATGTGGAGCTGTGACAGTGTGAGACAGAGTTGGTCATGTGGAGCTGTGAGTGTGACAGTGTGAGACAGAGTTGGTCATGTGGAGCTGTGACAGTGTGAGACAGAGTTGGTCATGTGGAGCTGTGACAGTGTGAGACAGAGTTGGTCATGTGGAGCTGTGACAGTGTGAGACAGAGTTGGTCATGTGGAGCTGTGACAGTGTGAGACAGAGTTGGTCATGTGGAGCTGTGAGATAGTAGAGTTGGTAATGTGAAGCTGTGAGACAGTAGAACTTGGTAATGTAAAGCTGTTCACCCTCACCATTTTCCTTTTGTTCATCGTCACCATCTACTTTCTGTCCATCCTCACCATCTTCCTTTTGCTCATCTTCACCATCTTTCTTCTGTTCATCCTTACCATCTTCCTTCTGTCCATCCTCACCACCCTCTTTCTGCTCATCCTTACCATTTTCCTTCTGTCCATCTTCACCATCTTTCTTCTGTCCATCTTCACCATCTTCCTTCTGTTTGTCCTCAATATCTTCCATCTGTCCATCCTTACCATCTTCCATCTGTTCATCCTCACCATCATTCTTCTGTCCATCTTCACCATCTTTCTTCTGTCCATCCTCACCATCTTCCATCTGTTCGTCCTCACCATCTTCCTTCTGTTTATCCTCACCATCTTCCCTCTGTCCACCGTCCTCCTGTTCTTTTTGTATACGCCCACCATCTACACCTTTTACTTGATGTTTGTCGTGCTCTTCCCCATCCTTGGCATCATTTTGATGAAGCTTGATTCTCTTCTCTGGTGGTGTGTCCTCTTCTTTCACCTAGACATTGTACATAGGTGGAAGCGAACATACAGTCATTTTTAGCAGTTTCAATATTTTGAGATATTTCAAAATGGCCTGAACCCCCATTTTGAGCACAGTTTCTAATCTATAAAATCATTCAATGTAGAAAAAAACTGATTTGTTTGAATACATGACATCATTAAAACTGTTCGAACGATACCATGGAACTTCTGAACATTCAACTTCTGACATTATTAATTATGCTTCTAACTTCCAACAAGGATCTGACTTCCGGAAGTCAGCATAGCGGATCATTCATCTGATAGAAGTCGATGAGTTCAACTAGAAAATTCATGGTGAAATTTCCCTCTAAACTATTAAACTCTGGTAAGACAGTAGCAGATGTACATCTTTCTTGATTTTACCAGTACCTTTTTCACATCAACTGCTAGGACTGACAGATGGTTATCCATATCATCACTAGTAGTACTGCAGGCTGACAGCATACTCTGGACATCAGGGGTAGACTGCAGTGCTCCGACCCCAGCAACAACCGTCATCTCTAGACCTCTGCCGCAGACACCTTGTATATACACACGTCTGTCATGAATCAAGGTTCTTACCAGAATTTTTTTTCACAATGTGGAGGTCAAGTACAGAAGAACAACTTTCCGCAGCATGGAGTCCCAAAGACCACATTAGGGGGTCTGGTATTCTCCCCAAAAAATTAAAAACCCTCTGAGACACTATTTCTACCTTATTGAGGGACAAATTTTGAAAACACGTTTTCCCTCTGTTATAGCTTTATTCTGAACTCAGATTTAGGAAGGGTCACAAGGTTCTCCTCAAAAAGGAACACCCTACGCTGGTTGAAAGTTGTAAGGAGCTAAATGACAGTATATCCAAAAAGGAGACTCCTATGGCCAAACAGCCTAGTGAGAATGCTGTAAATATCATGTGTGGCTAATGGTGTTTGATGACAAATAATGATTCACAAAGATAAATGTCTTCACATGAGGAGATAGTCAAACCTGCCAAGGTGACCACCTCTTCAAGCTGGCCACCTGGCCGAGGTGACCGCTTTTTCTTGGTCCCAAAAATTTTCCCCATTGATGCAAGCATTAAGGGACCTGTCCAAGGTGATCACGTGGCCAACGCGACTGTGACCGCCCTGAGAAGGCCCGATACCTGCCCGCATGGTGGACACATCATTTTCAATTACAATGTAGGCCACACCGACTTAATTTTATGGATGACATCCGCACGCGCATTGATTTTCGCCTGATCTTGAAAAAAAAAGATCACGTCTTCCGAGGCCCTGACCATGGTAGCCCATTTTTGGTTAGCGACAACGAAGACGGTTGTAACTCTGGAGGACAGCACCCAGGCCAGGCTACCAGAGCTCCAGGAGTCAAGAACTCAGTACATACCTACAGTGTCGATTCATAAATTCTGCAAAAATCCAGCATGTGTCGGCTTGTCATATACGTCGCTATGTAATACGCCAAATTCACAATACCGGCTTTGTATTCCTGTGGTTTAGTAGCATTTTTATTTTTGGCCGGATTTTTCTTTTTTTCGCCCGCGCGCACTAGTACGGGGGTCTTCAGAGGATGTCATCCATAAAATCAAGTCGGTGTGGCCTTGTATTGATTATTGATGATAATAAGAAATCATGGAGAAACCAGCCAGTTTACTCCACTGCTGGATGATGTTTTTGTTCGACGTAAATTGTTCCATGTGCCACCCTCTTCACATGCATTCACCACAGAACTGAAGATGCTCACAGCATGCCTACAGCATTTGAAAACCATTGATGTCTCAGTCATGTTGTGAGGTGACCCTCTTCAAGGAGACCACTTTTCTTTGGTCCCCTGGGTGGGGGCTTGAACTACTTTAACTGTATACTTGGTCTTGGTTTAGACTAAATCTGGCACAGCTATATTTTGATCATTTGAAGGATGCTTACCTTCTACCTGGCAGACCTTCTGTCCTGGTCTTAGTGGACTTCTTGTGAGAGGTGTGCTGACCAGGGCGGGATCTTGGCCAATATTGGAACTACTAGTTACAACTGAGTCTTCTGTAAGGTTAGCAGGATCCTGCTGCTCCTCAGCAGACGAATCAAATGTGTCTATGTCCAGGTTGCCATCTTTGTCAGAATCGCCACTATGAAGCTCCACCAAATCATCATCATCATCCTCCATTGTCGAATTTTCATCCATCCTGAACTGAAGCTTGGAATACTTCAACCTGTCTGTCATATTGAACAGGTGCTCCTTGCCTTTCAGGTGCTTCAGGTAGTGGTCTCTCATAGCATGCCAGGAGTGTTTGGTCACCTGGGGTAGACATATACTACATGTATATACAGTAGGTAGGTCTGTGTACCAGTACTGTGCCATGAAAAATTGATAAGGTACAGGTCCAAACAAGAGTTCCACGATCTCATACCATCGCCAAATGATGTTAACCCTTGAGGTTGACGAATTATTTAATCATTGATTTTGTAAGAGCCTCATTTGCATGGATTATATCAGTTGATCGTATTCTCTACCCAATGACAACCGTATCTTAACAAAAAGGCTATTATAGCACTGCCTTATAAATTATACAAATGAGGTCATGATTTGAATAAATTATGTTTATTGATGTTCGCACCCACTTAACTTTCAAATGTAGCAAGTATGAAATTCCCAGCAGTTACAACTATGAAATTATGAACATTTCGCATTAATTATGCAAATTAGCTCATTACATAATCTATATCCTCCGATGTTTTTTCGTTCTCAATTACATGTCACAAGTGTTTCATAGTCCTATTATCGAACAAAGTAGATTTATAGAATTTCCTCATTAATTATGCAAATTAGCTTCTGATTTGCATAATTGTCATCTTATTATGTCAAGCATCACTTCAGCTACCTACATACCAAAAGTCACGACAATCCGTCAACCGGTTCTTGAGTTATCCTCCTTCGAGGATTTTTCAAGAAACGCTCCTGCAGTTTCAGAACAAGCCGCTAGGGGGCCCAAACTCATGTCACTTCTTCCCTACCCCAAGAGCTATCTACCAACCAAAATTCGTGACCCTAGCATGTCCAGATCATGAGATATCAAAACCGGAAGTTCTGCTGCAGTACCAAAAAAAGCTGCCAGGGGGCCGAGATTCCAATCATTTATAGGTCTCATCAAGACCTACCAACCTACCAAGTATCATGGCAATGCATATCTAGTTTCTTGAGTTATGCGGTTCACAGACAAACGGACAGACGGACAAACGCTACTGAAAACGTAACCTTCTTGCCGAAGGTAAATAGCTAATCCCTACTGTACCGTACTAGTATAAAATAAACTTACACTATTTCATTTGGTTAATTGTGGTCTAGCTGGTCCCCATTGAGATAGGACAGTGTGTTTGTGTTACAGACTGGCAGTGGCAAACTATCCTGAAAGATCTGTTATTGTCTTTCGTGCATCAACAAGGGCATGCCCGCAGACGGTGTATAAAATTACGTGCCGATTACACAAAGAGAACCCAGTGTTTTGACTGCGAACACGAAAAATCAGCTCTTCACAACACTCCGTCCGACACTAAGGCTGAAAAAGGAGATGGAATTTGGAATATACTAATTGTAGAAATACAAATGTTATGACACAAGTCACACAAGTTGAATAAAAGAACACAGTGTAACAAGAAACAAGTCTTCTATTCGTCATAAAGATAAATTTAACAAAACAGCAGTAGTCGCCCTGTTCTGATTCTTTCCTTTATCACATCTTCTCTTATTATATTTTGCGACACTGTCGTAACACTTTCATCAGAATACAGTAAGTTTTTTTCCATTAACAGTCCAAAATCAAATAACGTAGGGTGGGGGTCTAACACGGGTGACGGCGCGTCTGTAAAATCTGTGGCGAACCCTTTCAGGGTGTTCTGTAGTATAAAAAGAGTACAGAGATTCTTTTGTACTTTAGACCAAATTGATTATTAAAAAGAGTAAAGAATACACATGTTCATTTCTCTAGAACAATGTACCTCTGACGAAGACATGAATTCTCCGACCTCTAGTTAGTTTATGTCACTTTGATCCGGTACACGTACATGTGGTATGAGGCCACCAAGGTAGGAGGTGAAGACTAAAACATCTTAATTTTACCCATATCTGGTCTTAGACTTCTCCATAAACAAAAAGGTACTGTTAAATGCAAAGTTTCTGTAAGTTCTTATTGAAGCAGTTCAGAATGACATGTCAGGAAAAATCAACACTTGTAAATTGGGTCAGAAGGTTGAAGTGAATACCGAGTGGTTTGGTTGAAAATTCTAGTGAATTAATTTCTTCGATTAATTCTCATTATAAACACTATACCTTATACAGCTCCATCTCCTTCCATATCTTATTGCCAGCCACTGGTCTGCCTGGGTCAGAGTTCTCTGCCACATACTTCAATATAGCTACCTTCTCACTCTTCAGGAATGGCTCACGACTGAAAACAGTAATACTGTAGCTTCACTGTACGATTCTCATCAGTACAAACTAACTGTTTCAATGTAATTACATTTGTACTATGCAGCTTATTATAAAAAAGTAATAATTAAAGAGTAATTATTGATATTTACTTTGGACCACAGCCAAATCACAATATACATGTAATGTTACATGTAGTTTTGGATAAACCAGTATTGTGATAAGTTCTGAATTCAAAACAATGTTACAAAATGATCCTATGGACAACTTATAAGTCATCATACCCCTTTCCGGAAGCTTTCATGGCCACTGATCTTTTGGAGGAGGAGACTGTAGAACTCATGCCCTTCAATCTGGAAATGTAATAAATACATGTATATCATTATCAAACCAGTATACTAGTCAGCATCTCATCCATCTTTCCATCATTTGAATCATTTTGACGGAAATTTCACAGCTCTGATGATGGACAAAAATTTTGCTCAATCCGTCATCTTTGACGGACACAAATCAGCATATAAAGATATGAAACGAGATGTCATTAAACTATGCTTAGTCTGTCAGCAAAATTTACCCCTGTAACTTTTTGGGTCTCAGGACAAACTAATGTTCAAGTCTATCTCTAACTGTTAAATCTATTAACTTTACCACTTAAGGGAGATAGAAGACACAGTGCCGAGTCGATCACAATTGTATGGGTTGTTGTATTGTGCTTGACTACTACAGAAACTACAACAGATCAAATGGTCTAGTTTAAGTTACAGTCTTAGAGTTACGGGTTTAGTTACAGATGAGAACTATGTATAATCTATAACGGAGTTAACTAGTGTATGTGTTGACTAAGCTGAGTTCTGGTCTTGAATACATTCAAAAGCAAGCGGGCTAACTTAAATTATTCCTACTAGCTGCTCTCACCAGCTGACTAGTGGCTAATGCTAATGACAGGGCTCAAAATAATTTTTTTCAGGTACATGCAAAATTGCACATTAGCAAAAATTTTAGGTGCAGTTTCAAAAATTTATGTGCAAAATTATATGGTAAAGGTTAGACATCCACGTAATAAGAATAAACAAAAAAAAACAGTTACTTAAGCAACTGGATATGATTTTGGAAATGGTCAGACTTTTCAGTTAGCTTTCCACTACCTTTCGTCAGTGACACAGTCTAAGAGACCACAGGACAATGGCTGGTTTATAAGCACAAGCTATTGATTGATATGCAAAAATAAGTGAAGACCATTTTTATGGAAGTCCAAAAGGAAATAAAAGTTACACAAGTCAAGACAAGGACGATGCAAATTAGTCAAAAAGCGCCTTTTGTTTCAGAATAGGAGCATAAGACTAGTGTTGTCTGTCCTGGGAGCTAATCTTTGCCTTCATGCCCCCCTCCTGCTCTAGGTGCAAAATTGCACATTCAAAATATTTTTAAGTGCAAATCTTGAAAATCATGTGCATTTTGCACATTGCACATAGATATTTTGAGCCCTGTAATGAACATGTAGATGAGCTAAGGATCTAAACTGGCAGCCCTATTCACACTGCGCGATCATTGGATCAAGCCTCCAATGACGTTATCCTATACAGTAACTATATGGGCATAGACTGATTCCCCTGCACTGCCGGTTACTGAAATCCTCCGCTACGGTGAGATGTGTGGACTATTGAAGCTTGTGACATGAACAACACAGGCAGATATGGATTATGCAAATGAAGACTTAATTTGCATAATTAATGAGAAAATGTTATAATTCCATTGTGATAACTACCTGGAGTTTCATACTTGGGCATTTAAAAGTTAAGTGCAGGTGAACATCATTAAACATAACTTATTCCAATAAGGACCTCATTTGCATAATTTATGAGGAAATGCTATCATGACATTCTTTGTTAAGATAAGACTGTCTTTAAGACTGTCATTAGGTGAATAACATGATCAACTGATATAATTCATGCAAATGGGGATCTTCAGACCTTGTTTTCATGATTAATGAAAATCATTTAAAATTCGTCAACATTCCTCAAGGCCCAAGGGTAACATCATTTGGCAAAGGTATGAGATCGTGGAACTCTAGGTACTTGTGACATTGACTGTTATCACTTATTAAGTATAAAAGAAATAAAATAGTTTTGAACAGTCCTAAGTATGATCCACACTTCTTAGTATGTTCAATGTTACCTGTACCAGTGCAGGTATGCTGAAAAAAAATTCAAGCCCTGACTTACTTATAGTTTTCCAAAGGTAGTAAGGTGTTCTTCTCCACACAGTCCAGTATATATCTGTAGGAATAATTGTTGTCTCCAGTTACTGACTGTCCTTCTGCTGCCAGTCTACAGGGACACAAGATTGAAGGTAAGACTTGGACAATTAACATACATGTAGTTACACACACTCGTCCAGTGTTCTAGCCAGCCTGAATTTGTTTTTCTGTCATCTCAATTTTGTTTGAGTCACATTGACGTCACATTACGCAGTTGATACATGTGACTCGGAGAGCAGTGGATCGTAAGTTGCAGGAAGTCTGTGCCGCCCCCCGTCTTTGTTGAGGGAAGGTTATAGTGCCCAAATGTACATATAGAATCTGAACATATGGCCTATTTATTCCCTCGTGCAAAAAAAAGTATGTTACATAATACTAGTATTATGTTACATGTAAACAAATGTACTTACTTGACAGTGTTTTCGTCCCGATCTCTACTGGTTAATATTCCACCTCCATGCTACATGGAAAAAGCAAGTGTAGCAACATGTTAACATAGTATAGCAGCAACACGTTGTTCATGTCTTTCAATTCTTATTCACAACAGTTACTCCAATTGGGTGACTGTGATCATGACATTTTCATTTTGGCTCTCCTGTCACAGTAAAAGGCAAAACAAACAAGAATTCGGAGACCTCATACCCCCATGAAATATGTAGAATTTTTGCAAAATGTTTGTTATTTGTCTCATTGATTATTGAAATAAGGTCATAATTACCATACTCTCACCCCTCGAATAAACGTACCGGTATGTTTATTTTTTTTCGCCTTGAAATCCGCCCGGTACGTTCTTATTTTAGACGGTACGTTTATTTTTTTTCAGAATCAAAAAAAGTTCTGGGCAAATTTGCGGTCATGAACAAAAAAGTACGTAACAGTTACCATTTCTCTGCGCCGACAGCAGAGTTAAAATGTCACAAAAAGCACATGTCTGAACGTAAGAAGGAAGTTCCTGCTACAAATAATACATTTAAGTCTTTTTGTAGTAACTTGTTGCGGTATTCTAGCGGGAACTTTTCATTTTTGTCGTTAGTTCTGCCAGTACGCAAGAAGATCCGACAAGACCTAGGGTGGCCTCTCTGGGGTTGAACGTCCGTGAATAAACTAGTAACTCTCGTGTCCCTTTTTTTTGTTGCCCCGAACATCCACCCGGTCCGATCTCATTTTGGACGGTGCATATAATAATTTTTCAAAATCGGGGCATAGTTAACAAAGTTCTGCCCATGCATATATGACATGTTGCAAAGTGGCCGCTACTTTGGGTGGATGCGTCCGGGCATCGTGGCTTTCCAAAAACTTACACCCAGAAAAAATGTTTTCTCCAAGAGGGCATGTACTTTCAATGCTGTTAACTTGCAAACTATTCATATCAATTACACATCAAAATGTTTAAAAATGTTCTTGTCCCCCTACTAGAGAATGAACCATTCTTCCAAGAACTTGCCAAAAATATATTGTGGCCCCGCCTCCCATCATTTGCATACTAACACAAACTTCAAAGCTTGCTACATTTTGTAAGTGAAACCTGAGACCCTTGAGATTGTGGCAGTGTTGCAAATTGTTGACATCGTGTGAACTATGTGTGTGTCAATTGAAAACTGAAGTTTTTTAAAGGTATAAAAATGAAATACCATTCAAAATCTAACATTATATTCTATATTTGATTCTTTTCCCTATGACTTTTACACATTACTGCAAATTTGTATAGAGCATGTATTTAGCATATTGTAAATTTCTGTTGAACTTCAAACTCTATTCATGTAATTTTTCTTAACCTTAAAAATCAAGGACTCTTATTTCAAAACTTGATAGCATTGTTCCTACTCAATGCATGCATGCAATGCAATGATCAACAACAAATTGTATGAACTCAGAGTCAGGTCTCAATGTAGATGGATAATGTACTAAGATATAGATTAGACTGCACAACATATACATGTACTTCTCATTAACCTGTAAGAATGCAGGCTGATAATTTGGTAGTTTTCCAGGGGTATGTTTATTTGGGGGGGGGGTATATTTAGTAGGTTTTGAAGATTTCTCGGGGGTACTTTTATTCCGGGGGTATGTTTATTTGGGACCAGTATTTGCAAGGGACACATACACCGTGAGAACACATTTTAGTAGCATAAACATTGCTTACACATGTCAATTTAAAATTTTCTGGGGGGTACTTTTATTCCAGGGGGTACTTTTATTCGAGAGGTGAGAGTAGTTACCTCCATGAAATGTGTCATGGAGGTTATATTTTCAGTTGCGTTTATCTGTCCGTCCGTCCGTCTGTTGGTCAACAAGATAACTCAAGAACGCCTGGATGGATTGGTTTCATACTTGGTGTGTTGGTAGGGTGTGACGAAAACTGGAAATGATTAGATTTTGGTCCCCCTAGTGGCTTCCCTTGGTACTGCAGCGCAACTTCCGGTTTTGATATCTCGCGATCTGGACATGCTAGGGTCATGAAATTTTGATGGAAGGTAGCTCTTGTGCTTGGGAAGAAGTCTTATGAGTTTGGGCCCCCTAGCGGCTTGTTCTGGAACTGCAGGGCACTTTCTGGCGAAATGTTTAAAAGCCAATAAGTCCAGACAGGAACAACATATTTTCATTATTTTTGGTGTGTAGTTAGCTGTGAGAGAGATGTACATAATTAAATGCAAATTATGCAAATGAGGACTTTATTTGCATAATTAATGAGGAAATTCTATAAGTACAGTGTTTTACATTATACTACTTACATACATGTAATGTATGTAACCTATGGCAGGCGGAACTTCAACAGATACTAATTATGCAAATGATTACCTAATTTGCATAATTAATGCGAAAATTCTATGGTTTCGTAATGGTGAATGATGAGACATCTGTAAGTTAATCAAAATTTAACATACATCACGATGCATATATCATGTTAATGCAGAGGTCATTTGCACAATTTAAAGAAGAAATTTTACATTTACATATCAAGATCATATTTCATGGAGGTATGAGATCTCGGAATTCTAGTTTATTTATGGTTTTCTACACTCAAATTACAATATTTTGGGTGTGAAATTCCTACCCTTTGGCAATGTTTCATTTTAACATGTCCTCCTTAATTATGCAAATGACCTCTACATTAACATAATATATGCAGTGATGTTAACCTTTAAGTATCTTACGCATGTCACAATGTATAAAATTCCCATCATTCACCATTAATGAATCATAGAATTTTCACATTAATTATGCAAATTAGGTCATTATTTGCATAATTGGTATCTAATGATATTCCACCTGCCATAGATAACATTCATTAGGCCAGAGCAAGTAAATTTTATGGATGACATCCTCTGCAGATTCAAAATCTAATGCGAGCGGGCGAAAAAAAACAAGGCGGGCTTAAAAAACAAGGTTCCTACATTTTAAAATTTTGACTCAATCATTGCTAATTAATTGTACAAATGGTTTTGATTCAGTAGGAACATTACATATACACAGCCAGAATCACATATCACTGCATCAAAGTAAGAAACAAAACATTAAATCAGAGCCTTTTCTTCTTTCGTCTCTTTATAGTTATCTGCCAAACCACCTTCCGGCATGGCAACAGACATCTTTGCCTATTTTCGGCATGGTGACCACTGACCACTGTCAAATTAAAAAAATTCTTCAGAAGCACCTCTACATTTAAAAGGCTTTTGGGACTGGCCACACATAACCCATTGTTTTGAAGGGGGGGGCGGTGGAGTGAATCCTTCAGGCAGATACGAAGTTAGTTAATTTTACCAAGCCGCCACCTTCCCACTACTCACATACTGGAAACATTCCCACTACAAATTACCAGGTAAGATCACGTTAAAAATAAAACAAAACGCCTCTTTTCTTTCAATCACGAGACAAATAGTTTTGAAAAATAACTTGCTGCATCGTAGCTTTCATTGCTGTTTCATTCAACAAAAGTTCTCGTCGATTGTAAAATGATTGAACTCATCTGTTGTCTCTAGTACAGTATCAATGGTAGCGTTATCATAGCGTGCCAAAAATTGGCGTCGTAAGTCAGAAAATCCGCGGAAAAGAAACTCGTAACACGTATTCTCTCCTGCAAAACGGGGAGCCATTTTCTATGTAAGTAGCAGCTCGCGTTCTACGCTCTTATTGGTAGGACCGCTAGCAATGACGTCACATCGCCGGAATCTAATTCACTTCGCGTTCACACTCGCGAAGTTTGTTGGTTGGTTCCGCGGAGCGTTCCTCCTTGAGGTCAATGGAGGTCAAGCCGGTAGGCATACGTGCTTATTAGCAGCTTGGATGTTAGGCTGGAAAACACTCTGTATATAGCTATTATGAGTAACTGTTGGTTATGATAGTATTTGTGCTTTACTATGATTTATAAACCAACATGTTTGCGTTCTGTTGCCTGTATAAAGCAAAAATGAAAAACATTCTAACGTCAAACCAGAGGAATAACTTTTAAAAACTGGTAAATACGTCAGAGTTACAGTGTTTTTTTCCATTCAGACAAGCATAGACCAAGGAGGTTTAACTCCATGCATAGACAATGTATCCAGACTACCAGAGCGTTGGAAAAGGTTGTTAGCCCATGTATACTGCATATTAACCCATTACGCGGTCGGTTGCGGTCGGTTGAGGCCGGTTGAGGTATTTACATTGTAAGCATACCGATCAAGAACACTACATTACCCACTGCATTGATAGGTAGAAAAACTGTAACAACTTTCAAGTGAAGGGGGTTTCTTCATAGCCTCCTTCGCAGACTTGTTGGGTTACGGTAGCGGCATTATTATTTTTTTTGGTGAGTGACAAGAGTTATTCCGTGGAGGGACGATTTTGCCGCCGAGGGAGTTTTGCCACAGAGAGACAGTTTTGCGCCGGGGGCCTTGTCGCTCACTGAAAAAAGTTACACTGCCACCCAACAAGTCTGCGAAGGAGTTTAGTCTCTGCAACTGCGCTGGGGCCAAAAATCATGAGTTTAATAGCGTTATATATATATATATATATATATATATATATATATATATATATATANGTATATAGCTTATGAGTTGGTTATGATAGTATTTGTGCTTTACTATGATTTATAAACCAACATGTTTGCGTTCTGTTGCCTGTATAAAGCAAAAATGAAAAACATTCTAACGTCAAACCAGAGGAATAACTTTAAAAAACTGGTAAATACGTCAGAGTTACAGTTTTTTTCCATTCAGACAAGCTCATAGACCAAGGAGGTTTAACTCCATGCATAGACAATGTATCCAGACTACCAGAGCGTTGGAAAAGGTTGTTAGCCCATGTATACTGCATATTAACCCATTACGCGGTCGGTTGCGGTCGGTTGAGGCCGGTTGAGGTATTAACATTGTAGGCATACCGATCGGGAACACTACATTACCCACTGCATTGATAGGTAGAAAAACTGTAACAACTTTCAAGTGAAGGGGGTTTCTTCATAGCCTCCTTCGCAGACTTGTTGGGTTACGGTAGCGGCATTATTTATTTTTCGGTAGCCTTTCCGGTTATAATCGGAGAGCTTTCGGTCGGGCTTCGGTAATCGTGACGCTACCGAGCGTTCCCGACGGCGGTAGCGGACATTCCCGACTATATCCAAGATGGCGCCAGCTTGTGCCGACTAGCTATTTTACTACTTTTCTGTCGCGCTGTGGAATATTTAGGCTGATCTAAACATCGGCAACCCGGCCAATTGTGGAGTTATATTGTAGGGAAGCTCGGGACAGCAAAAAACCGGGTCAAAAACGGAGCATCGAGCAGCCAACGGGAAATGTGCAGTTCTGCCAATGGATCTTTCCACGACTATTGCTGAGGGTAATGCAATGTAAGCCCGAATCAATAGTCGCCACGGCTAGGCCACGTAGATTTCATAATACGAAGGAAACTTCTCTACGATGCACAAATGGTTCACCTTGACCAAAGGGTGTATCTGGGTTTTAACCTCTCCTGGCAGGCAGTAAAATGTAAGTGGACGTCCGTCCTGTGTTTGGAATAGCACATTGCTATGAATGAACTCCGAAGTAGACCCCGCCATTTTTCATACCGCTCAGGCTGGATCATTACTAGACCGGATACAAACAACAAACGGAAATGACGTTTACTGTCACGATGCAACTCGTGAATTTTTTTCCGTTTGCTGAATGCTATGTTGGGATTTTGTGATATAACGTTAACGTTTAATACATTAAAAGATATTTTTTAAACACTGGCTTCCATCAAACCAAGGACATAATTTATACACTGTGTATATTTAATGTCCTTGATCAAACGTGGTAATTTTTTACTGCATTTCCGTCACCAATGAGAGGTCGTGGTAGTGGTGTGGAATTATGGTGTATCGATAGAGCAGAGTACAACAGTGCCGTTTGTCTTTATTGCAGCGAAAAGAATGGATTCTTTTGGATCAAACGCTGGTGCAGGTGGACAGATAGATCCACAGATGCAGCACTTCATCGAGGCGGAGACGCAGAAGCAGCGGTTCCAACAGTTAGTGCACGGACTAACCGACACGTGTTGGGAGAAGTGTATGGACAGGTCAGTAGGAATTATAAAGTGGCGTTTAAAGTCACTCTATGTAGTTTTTTGACAATACAAAAAGTATATTTTTTATTCTTTTCTTTACATAGTACATTGGCTTAACCCATTAGTATTCCAAAATTATACTCCACAGCAAAAAATACAACATCCTTGCTCCTTAGAAGCTTAGAAAACTGTGAATGATCTTCTATTCAACCTCTGGCCACACCAGGCCACACCGTACATATGGTATTGCCCACTGCCAGTGGTTTGACCTACATCCCAGTGGGGTGTCAGTTGATAGCTTACCAGTTTCTGAAATACCTAATCGTTTACCAGATTTTTTATCTCTTTTGATGGGATAATGACCACAGTTTATTCATGCCCAACAAAATACTCTAAGTTGCTAATTATATTCCACCTCATGTGAAAGATATGAGTTTTTTCTAAGGAGGGTAACTGTTATATCTTGTGACATCTGCCCCTGTCTATCAAGCCTGGCATGCCCGGGCCAATTAGCCACCCCAGGGGGCAACCCCTGTATGTTGTTGTTGTTGTCCTGCCTGAGCAAACCGGTGGCACCGGGAACTGAAGAAGGACTGTTTGAACGGACAAAATATACGAAAAAAATGTGAAATAATGACACAAATGTGTTGAAAAGTGATAGTAACTGCTAATAACACCGAAATTTAGTATAATTAGAATATTTCAATTTTTTGCGCAAAAAACTACATAGAGTGCCTTTAAAACACGCCTCGACGACGAGATTCTCTTTTGATGTGTGATAATCATGGTGTCTGTTTTGGTTATTACCTCCATGAAAAATGGAGGTATTGTTTTTGCCGTGTGTGTGTGTGTGTCACTGTGTGTTTGTGTTTCTGCACATTTGTTGTAATCCTTTTTGCATGATAATGCCGGATACAGAGTTGTGGGGCACTCCATAGGCCAAAACCAACCTTTGCGGTGCCGGGCCGGCCCCGGATTTTTGGTGTCCCTGGCTTCCCGACGCACTCACCTGCCGGGCCGGGGGGATAAGACCCTAAACAAATGCAGCATTTAACCACAACACGGCCTCGGAGCACGTAACTCCATACAAGTCCTCGACGATCGGCGGCCATTTTGAATTCAGGAATCGGCCCGCAAAACAGGTCGGGCCCTGAGTTTACGACAGAATCCCGTTAAACTTCGGCAGAAACCGTTGACGGTTCCCACCACATTATGTCTTTGCGGAATGCCAGGCGACTCAACCAAACCCAAGTCCGTGAACGTGTCTGCGAGTGTCTGGAAGGCTGCCATGGCGCGAAGTGGTGTTTCCGCACCGCCCAAGTCATCAATGTAGTTTATGCAATCAAAACCCTGCATTCGATGAACGTATCTCACTGCCGAGGTCGTTCTTTGACAGGCCATTGCGGCAGAACGAATTCCGAAAGGGAAAGCCGTGTCAAAGTAGAACTGTCCGTTCCATTGAAAGCCTAACATGTTGTAATCATATGGGTCCACCGGGATCTGTCTATATGCTCTGCTTAAATCGCGTTTGTAGAGTAAGCAACCTTGTCCTTTCTCCATTATCAACTGTTCGAATGCTGCGTGCCCCGGTCACATTCAGTGAATGACGGGATCGTTCCACAAGATTATTTAGGTGAACTGTTCTCCTAAATAATCTTGTGGAACGAACAGTTCACCTAAATAATCCTTCACGCTACCGGGTAGCGTGAAGGAGAACAGTTCACCTAAATAATCTTGTGGAACGATCCCGTCATTCACTGAATGTCCGACAGGGAAACTTAGATCTACCACTACTCTCCGCGCCTCTGAATCACGCTTGGGTACTGTCTGTAGCGGGGACACCATGAATGGTGTACGAAACGGAGGAACGTGAAACGGGCCTTGAATGGTGCCGAATTCTCTCTCTGTGGACACGTAACGTTCAACATCCCTGTGAAATATCTTGGCTGACCTGTGATTCTGGTAAATAGGGATTGGCAATTGTTCACTCATGTAACTAATAGGCCATCCAAACTCCAAAAAATCTGCGACCACTTTGTCATGATAGTTCCTCAGAAGGTTACGCCATGTCTGGATGTGAAATGTGGTTGGCACAGGGAGTCTACAACCTTGGAAATTATAAGATCCGGAAGCTCGTACCTGAGCATGTAACTCCAGAAACACGTTGGTTGTAGACGTGTCGGCTGCTTGTGTGAGGTCCTGACCTGACACCGTGGATGACAGCTCGCAGTGCGGTCTAGCTGTAGTGTCAAGTGTACACCTCGTGCCAGTGCCAGTCGTAGGATTGGTACAGTCCACGTGCACCGTTGACGTATCGTCAGTCGTGGAGGTTGAGGCTCCGCTTTCTAAGACCGAAGTAAAGCTACGACTCCCAACATGTCCTTGAACTTTTTTTTTAAGTGTACCCAACAAGGTACCCGGCTTGTCTTCCAAGGAAGTAGACATGTCCTCTGCTTGTGTGAGGTCCTTACCTGACACCGTGGATGACAGCCTGCAGCGCTAGCGCGGGCGAGCTGTAGTGTCAAGAGTACACCTCGTACCAGTGCTAGTAGTAGGATTGGTATAATCCATGTGCACCGTTGGCGTGTCATAAGTCGGGAAGGTCGTGGCTTCACTACCTGAGACTGAAGTAAAGCCATTATATATGTTCTTGAAGTGTTCCTGTGTTGTCTTCTAAGGGAATATCATGAGTGGTGATTGCATGCTTGCCTACTCAGTAGTTCTACTTTAATGAATGTCCGAAAATCGCTACCTACAGGTCTTCGTCCAGCATAATCTACATATGTGTTCTCTGCCTCTTGTAGTCACGCTGACTTCTGTGTTGGGTTCTTCGCCCTGAACTCTGGGTCTTTGTAAGGGCAATTTGTTGCGCTGTGCTTCTGATATCCCATCGCAGGGCGCATAGTTGCGCAAGGTCTGCAGAAGTGGTATACCTTGCCGTTCCTGCTGGAATGAGCCCTGTTGTCTTCCACAGTAGCCTGGCATTCGCCTTTGTTGTAAGCATAACACAGCTGTAGGTCAGTTTTCTTGGCGGCCTTGCTAGCATCCCTAGGAGCGACATATCCCTTGCGTAGGTGAATAGACTTCAAGTTTTGTACCTTCTTCATAAAGTGCCTGTCCCCCCAATCCAGCTCGCCCTGCTCGATCTGCATGAGCACTACAGCATTGAAGTGAAGCACGGCTTGGTAACCGAATTCCGCCACTTCGAACCAGGGCTTTAGCCAGCTCGAAATTTTTTACCGTCAACCCCAGGTCAACCCAATTCGCGAAAAAAATACCGTCAACGCGAAAAAAAATTCCGTCAATGATTACTTTTAAAGAATGTCTTTCACGAGCCGGTGATCGACATCACACCCTCCCGCACACTTAATGCATTCGGTGTTCTAAATACCCGTCAAGATTGCAGAATAAAAAAACCTACACAATCTGCAATTTTGCAGAATGAAAATAATCTAGAGTTCTCACAAGGAGACAACACGCAATGAACAATCCACTATTCCCTTTGTTTTGATCCGCTCAAATCCCGCCGCGATTCAAGCCGCAGCGGCTTCCCCAGTCAGCCAGCCAGTCATGACGTCACAGCCTCCGATTTCCACCGAGCCGCCCCGAGCGCTGACCGACAGCGGACGATGTGGCTCAGATCTCCGACGATTTCCTTATTTAGAGCGTTCGGAAGACTTCGGGTAGCAAACAAAATGGTCGACATGTACATGATTTTACTTGTCCTCTTCGCTTCTAAACCGAAATGAGGAAGTTACAGCTCCTTTGCTGACTTTAGCGGCCATGAAGTTGACTTGGGGAAGCGCTTAGACGCGATTTCGCTACGGCATAGGGGATTTTGCCGCGGAGGGAGTTACGTGGCCGGCAAAAACTCGCGTGTCAGCGATCTTCCAAAAATCTTTATGCTGCCGCTCAAGTCTTCGCGCGAAGGAGGTCTGACAAAGTTTTAGATTAAATAAGGCCACATTGTGTGGATCAATCTCCGTTTTCTTGCGATAGTATGATTATTCAAGTACAGTATATTTTCAAAACGTTTGATATTTCTTTGTTCGTTGTCACATGTTTATTTATCGTATTGTCATGTACAGTTAGCAGCGACGTGTGTCTGAGTCGAGCCATTGTTTTATTTTATTCTTATGTGGCCGTTAGCACATGTTGTTTTAACAGACAGCAACATTGAACAACAGAACCAAGTCAACAGACGTCGGCACGGTCCTTGAAATCAGGTTTCCCGCCGCCGTGCGGTTGGAAAAGACGCCGCGCCGTGGCTCATTCAAATTTGCTAGATTTTTTCTATGTCTTTACCCACGATTTTCGACCGTCAATGTTGACGGTAAGGACTAAGATTTTTACCGTCACACGGGACAAATTACCGTCAATTGACGGTAAAACGGGCGCTGGCTAAAGCCCTGCTTCGAACATCATGAAACGCATGAGCTTGAGCCTCTGCTTGCTTTCTATAGAGTTCACCTTGTGCGATAGAATGATATCTAGTGAACCGGCAATACACTCATGCCATTCCAGATCATAATAACTTTTGCCGCCGTTTTTTGTGTTAGGCAATCTCTCCTGCAGAAACAAGACTTTCCTCTTCACCTGATCCGTACACTTCCTCAATACCCCGCTCTTCAACTTCGCCCCTTTGGACCGTGAAGAACTCGACCTACCTCTGGAGGCTCTGGAGTGATCACTTGAGCTCGAGCGTGAGGTCGATGATTCGGAAGACGAGCTCGAGCTCCGCGCGCCGGGTGCCGCTTTCTTGCTACGTCCGCGAAACGGTGGCGGGGACGAGGTTGCCCTGGTATGTAGGTCTTGCTTCATCCGAGTGAACTGGCGCAGTTCGTTGGCCGAGATGCATGTTGGTTGTGGCTCGCGCCTGCCCTCCCCAAGATGGCGTCCGAGAGTAGGCGACTTCTCGCGAGACTTCGCAGCTGTGACGTCACGCGAATGGCGGGTTTTTCGTTCGCCATTTTTTCGTTGACCTTCTCCGTTGACTTCAAGCACTGACCTTT